TAATTTTTGTTCATTTTCATTTGCATCGACTTAATGAAAAAATAATTAGGGTTCAAAATTAATGATCTCATTAGCCATAACCCACGATTTTTGTCCATTACACTCATTTTGACCTAATGGCAAATAATTTTTGCACAGTTCAAAATTCTCATTTTCATGAGCTATGGCTCACTATTTTTATAAATTTTCGTTCATTTTCACCTAATGGAAAATATTTATGTGAAGTTTGAAATTCACAATTTCATAAGCTACAATTCATAATTTTTTTATAATTTTTATTTTTTATGACCAATAGTAAAATAATTAAACCTGAGTTTAAAATTCACGATTTTTCCTAAGCTATCAACTATGATTTTTGTTCATTTTCCTTTGTTTCGACCCAATAAAAATAATGATCGTAGTTCGAAATTCATAATTTTTATAAACTATAACCCATAATTTTTTTCAATTTCATTCATTTTATCCTAATGGTAAATAATTTTTCGAAGTCTAAAATTCATAATTTCAATAGTTATAATCAAAGATTTTTCTCCATTTTTGTTTGCTTTGACCCAATAGCAAATAATTATGTGGATTTCGATACTTTCATGAGCTGTAATTCATGATTTTTATTTATTTTTCTTTATTTCTACCGAATGGAAAATAATAATGTGGACTTCAAAATTCATGATTTCATGAGCATTAACCTACAATTGTTAACCATTTTTGTCTGTTTTGACCGAATAGCAAATAATTCATTGTAGTTTAAAATTCACAAAATTTTCATGAGCTATACCATACAATTTTTGTTATTTTTTTTATTTTAACCCAATGACAAATAATTAGGTAACATTTAAAATTCATAATTTTCATGAGCTGTAACCCATAAGTTTTGTTCACTTTCATTCATTTCATGATAATGACATATAATTATGTGGATTTGAAATATATAGATTTCATGAGCTATAACCCATGATTTTTTTTTTAATTTTCATTCATTTTGGTCCAATAGGCAAATAATTTTACGAAGTTCACAATTCACGATTTCCTAAACTATAACCCTCGATTTTTGTGTATTTTTGTTCATTTCTATGTAATGAAAAATAATAACTCAAAAATCGAGATTTTCGTGATTTTCATGAGCTATAACCCATAATTTTTGTTCATTTTTGTTCGCTTTGTTGTAATGACCAATAATTTTGTGGAGTTCAAATTTCACTATTTCATGAGGTTTAACTCACGATTTTTTTTTCATTTTATTCGTTTTCTCCAAATAGGAAATGATCATGTGGACTTCGAAATTCACTATTTCATGAGCTTTAATCCATCACTGTTAACCATTTTCGTCTGTTTTGAGCAAATAGCAAATAATTCACTTTTGTTTAAAATTTATAATTTTTTCTTGAGCTATAACCTATAATTTTTATCTATTATTATTTATTTTGACCTAATGACAAATAATTTTTGCAAAGTTTATAATTCGTGATTTTATAAACTGCAACCCACGATTTTTTGTATGATTTCATTAGTTTTGTAGAGTTCAAATTTCATGATTTCATGAGCTATAACTCACAATTTTCATCTAATTTTTTTCCCTTTCACCCAATAACAAATAATTAAGCAGAATGCAAAATTCACGATTTCACAAGCTATGATCTATAATTTTTGTCTATTTTCATTCATTTTAACCCATGAGCAAATAATTTTACAGAGTTTAAAATTCACGATTTCATAATCTCCAGAAATTCAAAGCAACTTTGTCAACTACAATTTGATACAGAAAATGGTAACTGACTCAACGCAAATATTATCATACTCATTTTAAAAGCATAAGTTCAGGAAAAAAATTCATGGTCAATATTATCATTCGTTATTTTGAATATTTTATTTAAATCTTAATCTATTCTAATTTTAATCATATCTTATCTAATTCCGTGTAAACTATCTATAGCTCAACAATTTAAAAAATATATTAAATATTTAATTTAATTTTTAATCTATCCAAATACTAATTATATGCTATATTAACTCCATATGAACTACCTATAACTCAACAATTTAGAAAATTTAGAAAAAATAAGATTAAGAAATTATACGTAGATAACATATTATAATACAGGAAGTATTATAAAAAACTCAAAAGTTTTAAAAATTGCATACAATAGTCTTAAAAATTTAAAATTACACAAAACACCTTGACTTTTTAAAACTTAAAAACAAACATGAAATCTAAGATTTTAAAATTTGCAATTAACAACCTCAATATTTAAAAAATTATAGACACAACCTCAAAAAGTTTAAATTACAAAAAAAACACCCTAAATTTTAAAGATTTTAAAACTTAGAAACAACATAGATGAATTCCAGGTATTACCATTAGGCACTTAAAATTTTAAAATTTGTAAAAAATAAGCTCAAAGTTATAAAAATTATAAAAATTCTCTCAAAAGAAAAAAAATTATAAAAAATTCTAAAATTTCAAACTTCTAACTAGTACACATCAAATTTAGGAATTATCAGCAAATCGCTGAGAATTTAAATTTTTTAAAAATAGCCAATATTTAGTAATTGTAAAAATACCTTCAAAATTTTACAGTTACAAGAAAGATTCTAACATTTGAAAACTTACCACCAACAAATGAAATATGAAAACTATAAGCACTCAACTTATAATTAAAAATTTTCATAAAATACTATCAAAGTTTAGAAATTGTAAAACACACCCTCAAAAGGTCAAAATCATAAAAAAAGACTGAAATTTGGAAGAAAAAAAAAGAGGAAATGTTTGATATTATTACATTAAGATATATAAATTTAACTTTCAATTTAAAATTTATCATCCATTTTTAGTATCTAAAAGTAGTCTAAGTTGATGCCGGTAAAAAATAGCAATTATCGTAGATTAAAACTATCCAGTTAAGGAATAAGAATTTAAAAATATATGATAAATTAAAAATTAACATTATTGTATAAATTCAAAGAACTGCATATAATTTTACTAATAACATTTAGTGATAGAAGACAAATTAATAAAAGACTATAATATAATATGTTAGCATTAATTGATTATAATGTATAAACATTTATCTCTAATGTTGATAATATTCATAGGATAAAAAATACAAGGACTTATGTATTAAGAAACTATTAGAAAGTTCAGAAATATCATTTAAAAGAACTAAGTTGTTTTTATTTCATATAAATAAGTGAAGGAAACAAACTCAAAATTAGAAAACATTCATAAATCACCTGAATTGACATTGATAAAAGACATATCTGACAAAGAAACACTCACTGAGTTCCCTTTGAAGAACATATTGAATAATTTTATCCTAATTAAAAAAACATTCTTCATGAAAGATACAAAAAAATTAGTAAGTACTTGTAAATTTTCATACTTTATTCTTGAAATACTAGAGGAATCATAAACTTAACATAAAATTATGTATAAATAATCTTGCAATAGAAACTAAAGTGAAGTTGTTGATCAACTATATTGCGAGATATAATAAGCTAAATAATATGAGGAAAATCACTATAATGGATAAAAAGTATGCACATGATACTTAATTACCATAGTGTAAATAAAAAATTTAAAATTAAAAATTTTCTTTTTTCTATATAGTTGCACTCTACAAGTAACCTTATTTAGGGATATGACTACCAACGAAGGATAAATTTTTAAGGACATGATAAAAGATAAGTATGAAATAGTACCGTCATATTTTAAGATCTTTAAATATGAAGGTAACATATTTTACAACTAAAATTATTATTAAAGGCCACTAAACATAAAATTCACATTTTATCAATCTCAAATTTGTAGGAAAGATATGCATGTCATCGTAAATTTTGTTAATAATATATATCAATTCAAAGATACAACTTATTGAAGAAATAAGAGAATGATAAGTAAATCAAGCAAACTTCCATATAACACAATAAAAAAATATTACATTTTAAAGCTAATATGCATGGCTCATTCAGAATAAGCTGCTAAAACAAAAGCATCTCCATCAATGTTTTTTATAAATACAACACAAATTTAAATTATTGAATATTTTATAAAATAGCTTAATTTTTTTGCGTAAAACAGGATTCTTCAGAAGGAATTTTCATGAACTTTTTTAATATTTTTATATGGATATGTGAATGCTTTTATCATGTAAAAGTGTACTAGAATTGACATTAATCTTTATTTTACGATTTTTTTTTAAGTCTTTCAATGATTAGCAACAAAATTTATATTCTCTTTAGTGTCATTCTAACTCACTTTTAATTAATCATCTTGGTTTATTGGTTTTAATTATTCATCTTTTTTTACAACACTATTTTTTTAAGTGTTTTTCACTTTTACAGCATTATACCTTCTCAAATCAAGCTTGCCTTCATAAGGCCTGTTCGTTTGGCCAAAAAAACTGGGAAATCAAACTTTAGGAAACCTATTTTCTATTATAATTACTTACTTAAGGAAATTGATTTCTTGTTTTTTTTTTGAGGAAATGGATGGAAAGGAATGTTTAATGAGATGAGATGAGTTGTCACAATATTATTGGATGATGTGTGTAATTTTTAAAAATGAGATAAAATAAGATGTGATGAGTTGGATGATGTGACACATTTCTTGTGTTTGGTTTATTTTTAAAGGTAAGAAAGGAGATGAAATGAGATGAGTTGGAGGATAAAAATAATATTTTATTGGATGTTGTGGGTGAGTTTTAGGGATGGAAATGGATAAAAATATTATTTTATTGATTTCCTTGTACCGATTTCCTTTTCTTGGTTTTTAGGAAACCAACCAAACAGCCCCTTCATGTCGATCCAAATAACGTGCAAATTCAAATTAGCTTTAGATTATATTTATTTCTTGTCAATTCAATTATTAACGTGAAAATTTTAAATTTGGTGTAACCCATTAGAAAAACATTAAAGAAAATAAATAATCATAATACTAAAGTTTAAAGACACAAATGAGCAAAAACAATCAAAGTAGAACTGATAAACAAATTTTAGTAAAGAAATAAATAAAAAATACTTAACCATAATATATAACCACATGCATTACACGTGCATAAAACCTAGTCTTACTAAATCAGCGAGAATAGCAAGAGTTGGGTATTTATAATACATAGCTCCCCAGGCAACTGTCTCAACCTTTGCAATGAAAATCAATTACATTTTTCTCAAGTTATCTAATCTCGCCTGTAAATCATCATCAATCCCGCCTCCATCAGTTCCACTTGTTTCAGCTTGAGCAACTTTGCCAGCTGCAGCAGGTGCAGCCACCGCAGATGAAGGAGCCTTCACAAGCTGCAAAAACCAAATAAATCATAGTAACATTAAATCGCAGCAGATTAGTCTTTCTATTTCGGGTAAATTTCAACAAAACTATGAACTTTGGGGCGTTTTGCATAAAACTACACATAGCTTTCTAATATTGAAAACTACTTCGAACTTTCAAAAGGGTTGAAAAATATCATGAACTGTCGGAAATTGTTGCTGACGGCGTCAACATCTTCAATAAAAGGGCTAAACTACTATGTTTATATCTATCAACTCACAATGTTCATGAAAGTAATTTAGAAGAGACATACATATATATATAGTAATAAGAGCAAAATCACAGGTGATAACTTCCCTTAATTGTTGTCTAGTATAGTAATTTACTGAAAAGCGGTCATGGTAGTTTTCACTAGTAAAATTATGGTACTATTGTGAAATTTTACTCTTTCACTTTACCTCTGAGTTGATGTCGATGCCAATCTCATCTAGGACTTGGCTCACTAGTTCTTCTGTTTCTTCTTCCTCTTCATCTCCTTCCAAGGCGTCATCAATGGCATCTCCCATAACCTCGGTTACCATTTCCATCTTCTCATTTTGTCGCTCAAATTCTTGCATTATCTTCTGCAAAGCAGGGAGGTTCATTTGCCTGTTCATCTGTCCCATTGCTTTTGTAACACCTTTCATGGCCTCACCCATTGCTTGTGTAGATTTCAGTGTCTGCGGGCATCAGGAATTCTATAAATGGCATTGCATAACATCAATAATATAAAAAAACTTAATCTTAAAGTGTGATTAGTTACATGCATACATTTTCAAATTAAATTCCATCCTTAATACAATATACAACATAAACAACCTTTATATTCATGAATTATGATTCTCATTAAAAGATTTCAGGGAATACCAAATACTGATTGAAATTCCAGGAAAACTGTGCTCAAGTTTTATTATATTGCCTTCAAAGTGAGGGGGGGGGGGGCGGGCGGGCGGAGGGAATCTGCATCTAACATTTTTGACACAGCAGTAAGAAGAAATAGCTCTCCTATGACATTAGAACTGATAATGTGTGCAAGATATCAACAGATTGTCGCCTGCTAAGTATGATAGTTTAAAAACATCAAAGGACATGCTTACTTTGACCCCAAATCCAACCTTACTCTATCTTGGGTATTATGACTGAAAAAAACCTGGTAGACGTGGTTATAGAAGATTCAAAGGGTGACTTGGGAAAAGAGTCCATGAGCTGTGGCCTCCTAATTGGCAGGGAAGCTTGATTGACAGCATACTAAGCTTTGATCCAAATGCACCCATAAAGTCAGACAAAAAAGGAAATATACCTGTATTCTAAGAGAAACACCTTGGAGCTGAGATTTGAGAGCATAGAACTTGGTGATTTGATGCCTTGTTCGAATAAGATCTTTTGCCATGACTTTGACAGCACCCTGTAAGTAATGATGAATTGTTATGAAGCAAAAGTAACATAACGTGGAAAAGTAATTAGAACTGGACAGCTCCAGAGGCAAGAACAGCAAGATGAAGCTGCAACAAGGTAAGCTATGCAAGCAGGAAAAAGGCATCTAATTCTCAAGATGCTGCAAATTAAGTATTATTAGCATTTCACAAGCAATGGTTGAGCTAAGAAGTTTGACTACATGAATTCCCAGAAATATGCAAAGGATTTCTGTAAGGCTTCTGAAAATGAATATTCAAAGTTAATTTAGACTATACTATCATGCCAGATTCACAACCTAATTTGGGCATATCAACTACATGCTTTAACGTAATAACATGACATCTCTGCTCTGCATTCACATCATGCAGCACCTGGTCCTGTGTTGTATCTTAATTTCCTCTTTTCCTCTTTCCCGCTCATTTGAAGCAATATTGAGCAAAAATAAGTTGGTTTTGCAATAGAGCGAGAAGCTGCAAGCTGCGGGGTTTCTCCATCTCTTACTGTGAACAAATGCTGACTAGAGGGTAAAGAAAATAGAAATATAATGTAGAGCTCAACTAGTTAAATCAGGCAAAGTGATCAATGACGATAAATGTAATAGATAAGTCGTGCACACAAAAAACCCAAACCAATCAATCAGTGACCATCACATTATACATGACTTAGATGCCCTAGATAGTTGTTTGAAAAATGAGTATGGAATTTAATATTATATCGTACATGCACACATTTCCAAAGCATGTGAGCGCCAAAAGTCAACATAACAAGTTCAATTTCTCAACCACACATTCTTGACAACAGAACCAGATAGAATTGGCGATTCAATTCTCAAGAATGTCTTTACATGTTTCCATCCGATTGTCTGACTAAAAATAAGAAGGCGCTGGACAATATATAAAACGTTGTCTTTTACCAACATTTACACCAATAAGTTCCCGAATCCATAGCCACCTGGATCTTAGATATACTAATAGCTATTGTATCGAAATCAAGAAAAATGATGATTGCAAGTATTTACACTCAACTAGGCCAATAAAACTATCATGGAGCAATAAGCTTATACAATTATGCTGGTTTCTCAGTTCCTAATAGGCTACTACAAAATAAACTTCACATATTCATAAATTCATCAAGTATCACTTTGTCTCTTCTCAAATTTAAGGAAAATTTGTCTCAGGATCTTCTGAATGCTCAGATACTGGAGTCACCTCCCCTTTTCATGTAGAACTGCTCATATCATCATATGTCATGTTCAAGTGAGAGATCCTCTTTTTACTAGTGAACATCTCAAGAAGATGTGTAAACCTTTTGTATAACCAAGGCTCTTGTCGGTGCTTCATCTCCCAGATGTAGGACATAATATACTATGAGATCTTAAAGAATTGCATATGAACATACCCGCCAAAGAGAGATGGCTCCAAAGCTGAATGTAAAAGAAAGATCATCACTCATCAAGCAGACCCCAAAAGATATAGAATGGAGGCCTTTTTCTTGACAGGTCAATCAAATTTATAACCTAATCAACCATGAGCCAGGATTTCAATGCCTTTAATTTTATCTTACATGCTCGATTCAATGTAATGGATGCACCAATCAGGAGGATTGATAAGATTATAGTTAATGAAACAAGGCCAGGGATAAGTCCAAGGGAACTTGGTTGAAAGCAATTAAGAATAATATGATAACAATTATATTAACTGAGGAGATAGCTCTTCACAGATCTAAATGGGAGAATAAGATGCATGTAGCTGACAACGAAAATTCAGGATAAATGATTTGTTGTTGGCACGTTGTTGTTGTACGCCTGAACTTAGTCAGTTTACTGCCAAATGGATCAGGCGGTATTTAGATTCCCAATAGTTGATTCTACAACAGTTGCTCTCCTCTCACCAAAAGAATAGGGTTTGTGATACACCCCCGGTCCAACCTGCTCTACTAAAACCAACCGCTCCACCAAACCCGGCAACCCACTCCACTCTCTATAAAGTCTCTCTTTGAGATACTAGACTAGACTTTTAAGGAAGAAAAGATGCTACCTCTTTCTCATTTAGTTATTCTAACCTCTTTAAGTAGAGAATTAGGGGTAAGTTTAGTTGTTTTTCCTTTTCCTTTCGGTCATTTATTTGTTCTAAAGCTGATGGTCGTAAGGAGTAGTAGTTGTTTAAGGTGAGTGTTACTTGTTGGGGTATTTGTAGTCGATACATCTCATTATATCTTGTAATAACTACAGATGAATAGAAGAAGATGGTGCATCCATGAAGCTGTATCTTGTAATAACTACAGATGAATAGAAGAAGATGGTGCATCCATGAAGCTGTAGTACGGTTTGAAGTCGATCCGGCCTCCTTTTGTGATGGGTTATCCAATTGTTTGTGTATTTTGTACTCTATTGTTGGTGTTTGCAACGAGGGGAACGCATAATTTTCAGGTCCTTCTATGACATGTTTAGAAAAAAAAAAATTTATAGTCAATTTGAAACTCCAAGCACTAAGATGACACACATGATAAGCATCTTGAATAATTTACAAAATTTACTAGATCACAGAAAATGACCTGACATATCATGAGCATGGCCCTCATAGGTTGAATTTTTTCCAAGATTTCAAATTCAACACATAAATTGTTATGATTCACAATATGCAACATAAATTAATCAAACAAAGAGAAAATTACCATCTGCCCTTGCTTGGCAGTCTTCTTGATCTCAGTAATGAGCTTCTTCTCTTGATTCTGCAATCCCTGCCTCTCCCTCTCTATCTCCCTAATCGATCGATCAAGCATCCGCTTATTCTCCCTCAACAGCTCTGCAATCAAAACCCTAACCATCAAAAATCAACTAAGAAAACCCTAATTTTATCCCAAAAGAAAAAAAATTACCCGCAGGGGTTTTCTTCTTGCCGAAGAGAAAACTCATCGTCGTTGACTGAAATCGAAGAAAATTTTGATGAATCGAAACGAGATCGGGCTATAGAAATCGAGTGATTCCTCTGAGATGAAGATGTTTGTTTCGATGATTCGATCTCCACTGAAAACGCAGGAATTTACAAAAATAGTCCCAATTTGGGGGTTTTATTTGCGCCAACTTGGTTATTAACTTAATACATACTCGCTTTGGTTTGGGAAATTTTTTTATTAGTGTCCTAACCCGAATCCGATAAATAGATGCTGGTTGCTTTGGCTCGGATCCGCTAAATAGTATCCACACCCGAAATTACTGGAGTAATAATCTATTAATTTAATAACCTTTCTGGTTACCCAATCCACAGCTAAACTAACTTATTCATTGGAAGGGCTTCATTTTATAATTTGACTGGCTTGTTTACCCTTTTTTAATTTCTTAATTTTCTGATAGACGACAACCCATAACGCAAGGTGACCCTCTTCCATAACCCTTCCTTTCTTCCTTCCTTCCTTCATTTTAAGAAGAACAATTTTTCACTTCAGCCCCATTTCAATTTTTTTATTTAAATCGATCTTATTTTTTTATCAAAACCGACCCGATTTTTTGATTAGCAGCTTAATCACCTTCCTAAACAGTCGGGGTTGGCAACCCCGGCTATTTAGGATATTAATTTTTAGGGTTTAAGGCTTCTAATTAGGGTTTAACACCCTCCTAAATAGTCGGGGTTGACAACCCCGACTGTTTAGGATGGTGATTAGGCTGCTAATCGGATTTATGCACGTGCAATGCATGTGATTAAATATTATGATTAAGTATTTTTGATTTATTTCTTTACTAAAATTTGTTTCTCAGTTCCACTTTGATTGTTTTTCCCACTTGTGTTTTCAAACTTTACTATTGTGGTTATTTTTTTTAATGCTTGTTTGAATGGGCTACACCAAATTTAAAATTTTCATGTAATAATTGAATTGACAAGAAATAACTATAATCTAAAACTAATTTGAATTTTCACGTTATTTAGATCGGCATGAAACCAAGCTTGACTTAAGAAGGTATAATGTTGTTAAAGTGAAAAACACTTGAAAAGATAATGTTATAAAAGAAGGATGAATAATTAAAGCCAATAAGACAAAATGATTAGTAAAAAGTGGGCTAGAATGAAACTAATGGGAATATATATTTTGTTGCTAATCACTGATAGACTTTAAAAAAATCATAAAATAAATATTAATACTAACTCTAGTACACTTTTATATGATAAAAGCATCAACATATCCATATAAAAAATTAAAAGAGTTCATGAAAATCACTTTTAAAGATTCATGGTTTTACTCAAAAAATTAAGCTATTTTTAAAAATATTAAATAATTTAAATTTGTGTTGTATTTATAAAGAGCCTTGATGAAGATGCTTTTGTTTTAGCAGCTTGTTCTGAATGAGCCATGCATATTAGCTTTAAAGTGTAATATTTTTTTTTTATCGTGTTATATGGATGTTTGCTTGATTTGCTTATCTATCTCTTATTTCTTCAATAAGTTGATATATTATTAGCATAATTTACGATGACATGCATATCTTTCATACAAATTTGAGACAGGTATAAGATGAATTTTATATTTAGTGGCCTTTAATAAGAATTTTAGTTGTAAAATATATTACCTTCATATTTAAAGATCTTGAAATTTGACAGTACTATTACATGTTTATCTTTGATCGTGTTCTTAAAAATTGATCTTTTGTTGGTAGTCATATCCCCAAATAAGGATACTTGCAGAGTCGTGCCATTATATAGAGAAAAGAAAAATATCAATTTTAATTTTTTTTACTTACACTATGGTAACTAAGCATCATGTGCATATTTTTTATCCATTATAGCGATTTTTCTTATCTTATCTAGTTTATTATATCTCGCAACGTAGTTGATCAATGGCTTCACTTTAGTTTCTATTGCAATATTATTTATATGAAATTTTATATTAAGTTTATGATTTCTTCAGTATTTTTAGAATAAAGTATGAAAATTTATAAGTATTTGCTGATTTTTCTTGTACTTTTCATGAATACTGTTTTTTTAATTAGGACATGATAGTTCAATATGTTCTTCATGAATAATTTTTTTTCTTGTACTTTTCATGAATAATATTTTTTTTAATTAGGACATGAATTTAATTGGTTTGTTTCATAGGAGTAACATCTTGTTCGATAAATTTTTTTATAATGAAATATCGTTAAGTACTTGGGAATGTGCATTCCATTCCAACTTCAAAAACACATTGTGTTTGGTAAAGCTTGAAACAAAAGCAAGAATAGGCGTATTCTATTCCTATCCATTCCCACGTATCAAATTGCTCCTTCGACTATTCAGACATATTTGATTTTGTATTTTATTTACCAATAAATAAATAGGTTTTAGTATCTAATTCATAAACAATAGAATTCAAGTAGTTACATATTCGATTTGTTTAATTTCAAATACTTTTTAGATATTTTTCCTCATACTTTGTATTATTATACGCACATTGTTATGCTTTTTTAATACTTTTATAAACTTAAAAAGCTCTATGTCAATTTTTTTAACATTCTTTCATCAAATAAAAGGTTCTTTTTAATTACACAATTTAGTGCTCAACTATAAATTATTAGTCAAATTAATATACTATAATACTTCATAAATATTCGTGAACATTCAAAAATACTCATATTCAAATTTTGGTTGAAATTATTTAAAGAACTATATTAGTTTTATAGGATGTAATGTCTAATTTGGTACATGGGAATGTGCATTATGTTTCAACTTTCAAAAATACGTTGCGTTTAGAAAATAAGAATAAGCATTCTACTTTCACATACCAAACAAGGGTATGTGTCATGTGGGAATATTCATGGTATGTACTCATGTTTGAGTACAATAATATACTGAAGCTCAAGTTTAAAAACTTGAATTTGAGGGTATATAGGTGCAAAATAGGGAAAATAGAAGGTACTAAAGTATAAGATTTAAAACATTTTTAGCATTAGTCCTTCATATTTTTAATAATTCTATATTAGTCTCTCAAATCCCAATAACTCATTAGTCTCTCAAATCCTAAAAGGTCTTGTTAGACCCTAGAGGGGGGTGATTAGGGTCTTATGCTAATCTAATCCGATTAAAATGCCAATTAAAA